GGGAGAGGAAAACGAGAGGCAAATGGCAAATAATGTAAGTGCGAGGGAGATGAGTTTGTGATGGGTACTTGGTATGTCTTGACTTGAGCGAAGACCTCCCCGGCAACGGCGCCAGAAATCCTTCTTGCTATGTCTTGAGCTTGTGTTGGTTTTCCTTGAAGAGGAAAGGGTGATGCGGTAATAGTAGCGTAAGTATTTCCCTCAGTATTTGAGAACCAAGGTATCAATCCAGTAGGAGGTTCCTCAGAAGTCCCACGCACCTACACAAACAAACAAGAACTCGCAACCAACGCAATAAAGGGGTTGTCAATCCCTTCACGGCCACTTGCGAAAGTGAGATCTGATAGAGATAATATGATAAGATAAATATTTTTTTGGTATTTTATGATATAGATTGGAAAAGTAAAGATGCAGATAAAAGTAAATTGAAAGCTTATATGATAAAAGATAGACCCGGGGGCCATAGGTTTCACTAGTGGCTTCTCTCAAGATAGCATAAGTATTACAATGGGTAAACAAATTACTGTCAAGCAATTTATAGAAAAGCGAATAATTATGAGATTATCTAGGCATGATCATGTATATAGGCATCACGTCCGTGACAAGTAGACCGACTCCTGCCTGCATCTACTACTATTACTCCACACATCGACCGCTATCCAGCATGCATCTAGAGTATTAAGTTCATAAAGAACAGAGTAACACATTAAGAAAGATGACGTGATGTAGAGGGATAAAATCATGCAATATGATATAAACCCCATCTTTTTATCCTCGATGGCAACAATACAATACGTGCCTTGCTGCCCCTGCTGTCACTGGAAAAGGACACCGCAAGATTGAGCCCAAAGCTAAGCACTTCTCCCATGGCAAGAAAGATCAATCTAGTAGGCCAAACCAAACTGATATTCGAAGAGACTTGCAAAGGTAACTTAATCACACATAAAAGAATTCAGAGGAGATTCAAATATTTCTCATAGATAAACTTGATCATAAACCCACAATTCATCGGATCTTGACAAAGACACCGCAAAAAGAGTTACATCGAATAGATCTCCAAGAAGATCGAGGAGAACTTTGTATTGAGATTCAAAGAGAGAGAAGAAGCTATCTAGCTAATAACTATGGACCCGAAGGTCTGTGGTAAACTACTCACAACTCATCGGAGAGGCCTTGGAGATGATGTAGAGGCCCTCCATGATCGATTCCCCCTCCGGCGGAGCGCCGGCGAAGGCTCCAAGATGGGATCTCGCGGATACAGAAGGTTACAGCGGTGGAAATAGTTTTTCGTGGTCGCTTCTGATGTTTTTGGGGTACATGGGTATATATAGGAGGAAGAAGTAGGTCGGTGGACACTCGAGGGGCCCAAGAGGGTGGGGGCGCGCCGGGCACCCTCGTGGCCGCCTCCCTTGTTTCTTGACTTCCACTCCAAGTCCTCTGGATCATGTTTGTTCCAAAAAGAACGCTCCCGAAGGTTTCATTCCGTTTGGACTCCGTTTGATATTCATTTTCTTCGAAACACTAAAATAGGCAAAAAAACAGCAATTCGGGCTGGCCCTCTGGTTAGTAGGTTAGTCCCAAAAATGATATAAAAGTGTAAAGTAAAGCCCATAAACATCCAAAACGGGTAATATAAAAGCATGGAACAATAAAAAAATATAGATACGTTGGAGGCGTATCAGACCCCGCTGCCACGGGAGGGTAGGACAAAAGATGTCATGCAAGTTCTTTTCCATAAGCATGTATGACTATATTCGGAATACATGCCTACATTACATTTGTGAACTTGAGCTAGTTCTGTGTCACCCTATGTTATAACTGTTGCATGATGAATTGCATCTGACATAATTATCCATCATTGATCCATTGCCTACGAGCTTTTCACATATTGATCTTTTCTTAGTTACTTCTCCGTTGCCACTGTTACGATTGCTACAAAACTGCTACTATTACTTTTGTCACCGTTACTGTTACTTCCATACTACTTTGCTACTATATACTTTGCTGCAGATATTAAGTCTTTCAAGTGTCGTTGAATTGACAGCTCAGCTGCTAATACTTGAGAATATTCTTTGGCTCCCCTTGTGTCGAATCAATAAATTTGGGTTGAATACTCTACCCTCGAAAACGGTTGCGACCCCCTATACTTGTGGGTTATCACGGGGCCCCTGGGCCCACTAGTCAGTGGCCTTGGGGGTGGCTCCAGCAACGCCACATTGGTGGGGTCGACGAAGAGAGCTCTAGCGAGCCTCTCCCACGGCGGAGGGCTCGGGAGCTCACCGAGATTCACCTACGGGTGGTCAAAGTGGGCGCAGGCGGGCACGTTCGAATGGGGAGAGCCCGCCACATCATTTGGGACCACTGGGCGGATCTGGGGATGCCGAAGGAGGTGCCGGCGATGGGCCGAGCAGGCGTCGATGTTCGGGTGAAGAAGGAACAACAGCAACAACACGCAAATGGGCGAAGTAAAGAGCTAGCGAGGGCCTACGTCTCGCAACAAGGCTAATGGACACGCGTGCGTGGCCAATTGGTCGCCAGAGCTACACCGGTGACGAGCTTGGGCGGCTGCGGGACCGGCTATGATGGGGACTGCGGCTACGAGCAGAAGAGAATGGAGGGGACGGGGAGCTCACAGCGGAGTTGCAGGGGGCGACAGTGGGCTCGAGGAGGCCCGGTGGTAGAGGGCGAGGGTAGAGTGCTCCCCAGCTTGGGCTGGTGGTCGAGGTCGACGAGGCGAACGACGGAGGGGCTTGTGGACGCGGCGGAAGGGCGCGGGAGGCCGGTTGCCGCGACAAAGCGAGGTGCACGACGATGGCCGTGCTCGGCTGCGGTGGATCTGGGGAGAGGTGCGAGGCCAGATGGGGCAAGGGGAAAGAGGAGTGCGAGTGGGGGGCGCGTGGCAGGGGGAGGGTCCTTATCCCCTCCGGTGTCGTCGGCGAGGTAGGTCGGTGGGGACCCCGGGCGCGGTCTAGCGCGCGCGATGAACAGGAAGGAGAAGGCGACCCTGGAGGAAGTGGGCTGGCTGGGCCGGCCCAGGTGCGCTAGGCCCAGGGGCAAGGGCTTCCCCCCCTTTTGTTCTTTTTTCATTTTCACTTTCTTTTTTAGTTTAGTTCCCTTTTTATATTAGTTTTATAAGATATAATTCTAGCACCTAAATTAGTATTATTAATTAGCCCACTACCATATTTAGTTTAGTACTTAAATGAAATACCTTGCAATTTTATTATTAAAAAACATTTAAATAATTGTTTTAGCCCCTGTTTTATCTATTCAAGGGCATTTAAATACTTTATAAAATGTGGTTTTTTCAACATGAACATTATCTAGGGATTATTTGCAACACTTTGAACATTTTTGTTTTCATGTTTGACAAATTTGAATTTTTTTTGACTTTAAATATGGAATTGAATTTGAATTGTGATTTGGATCAAGTGAGGATTAGCGACAATAATGTGATGACACGGCACAATTAACAGGGGATTACAGTAGCTTAATTAACAGGGCGTTACAGTAGCATAATTAAGAGGGCGTTACGCTAGTCAGCCAGCATTTGAAGTTGAGATGGAAGTCAATAGCAGCAAGCACATTATGGCTTGTGTAGTGCTTTCTACCCTTGTATATTGCAGACTGTAACCTCGGCACTATGGCAGTGACATGAGTATCATCATCTATTGCCGTAATGCAATCATGAAATGGCATTAGGAGATTGTGGTATGGCTATAGCCGAAGAGTACAAGCATATCGAGTCATGAACTACATACATATTGTTGGAGGATTGAGTGATACTAAGGGGCCAGTGTAGTAGAGAGGCCTCTCTAATGTGGGGTGATTGGAGAGAGAGAGAGAGAGAATAGTGTCCACGTGGTGTGGTGTGGTGTGGTGTGGTGTGGAGGCAGGCGCTGCACTACACACGAGAACAAGGGGAGAGGAGAGGAGAGAGATATGCCACTCCACTCCACTCCACTCCACTACACACTCGTCTCGTCTCCCACCCCCACCCAACCCCCGCCGCCGCCAGCCCCCATCTCACCGGACCCGGAGAAGAAGGAGCCCCCTCTCCCCCCACCAAAACCAATCTCAATCTCAATCTCCATCAAATCTGCTGCAACCTTCCCTCTCCCGCATTAACAGAATCTCCTTCCTTGTAAATCCAATCAAATCGGATCCATC